CGGCATTTTCAGTACACACCTGGGCCTCTGGAACCAAAAGCGAAAAGGAACCTGCTCCCCCCCCCCATTAAGATGACTTATCTTAGATGTTTGACACAATGAAAATCTGACCAACACTGAGTTTTTAAGTCAGTTGTAACATATCATCCATTGACGTAAGTAAAATTTATTTCTCAGTGCTGTCTTCTCTCTCATCTTTCAGTTTGGAGATCAAACTGTCAATTTGGAGGGCTGTGGTACCAGAACTAATATCATAATAGTATTATCTTGGTGATTTTCATAATAAATTAGTAGTATTCAATGTATTCATTACTGATTTCTCCAAATTAATTAGTAACTATCTTTAAATTTATGTTTCTGTACATGATAGTGCATCAGTACATAAATCTCTAAGAAACAAGAAGCAAAAACAGAAAAGCTCAGGGCCCTTTGACACCTCAATTAGGTATATTTGCCTATGAATGTGTATGTAGTGTGCATGTATATACATGTATTTGTATGTATGTACAGGTGTGGGTACATTTGTGTCTGTGTGTATGTGGAGGCCTAAGGTTGTAGCTGGTTTGCCCTGGGGATCCCTGAGTATTGGAATTACAGGTAGGCTGCCAAACCCACCCAAATTTTACGAGTGGATTTTAGGGATGAAGTACTCTAGTCCTCATGCTGGTGTGTGGCAAGCACTCTAACTGCTGAACTTTTTCCCAGCCCTGAGCCCAAGTCTAAAATGTTCCACTTCCCTCTAACACTACTGCATGGGTGGGGGATTAGGGTGAAGAGTCGGGGTAGCAGGCTAGGCTTACAGCATATCAACCTCTGAAACAGGACACATGTAGTCGGCTGTATTTCTCTGTTGTTATGAGTATTATTATTTTCATATTTATACTAACTAAATCTGCAATCAAGTAAGTGACATTAATTTAATAGAAAACAACTAAAAATGGTTAATAAAAACTTCAGGTGCATTGGCAATTAATAGTCACGTGTTTCTTATACAATTCCCTAAGTGGGAAAAGGAACTCACTCATTAACTTGTCCCTAATAGGGGATCATCTCTATGGCAAATAAAGAGAAAAGAAAAGCTATTATACAACCTATGTTCTCTAGTTTTGGTGGATTTTTTTGTTTGTTTGTTTGATTGATTCCTTTGGGGTTTTGGTAACTTTAAGACAGGGTCTCACTGTATAGCTGTGACTGTCTTAGAACTCACTGTGTAGACCATGCTGGGCCTCTAACTCACAGAGATCCCCTGCCTCTGCCTCCCAAGTGCTAGAACTAAAGCTGTGTGCCACCATGTCGGCTACCAATGTTTTTCTAAAACTACTATTTTATTCGGATATAATTCACACAATCCACAAGCCACCCTGTTAAAGAGCACGATTCTGAGGGCTTTGGTTTAGTTACAGAGTTAAGCAACCATCATCACATTGATTTGGGGTTACCTTTATCACATACAAAAGGACCTCCAGAAACACTAGTGGTCACTTGTCATTTCTTTCCTCCAGTTTTGCCCTCCTCCACCTGTCTTCTCCCTCAATGAGCCCAGGTAATCACTCACTCCCAACACGTACTTGTTCTGGGCAACTAAAGTATTCTTCTCATCGACTTATGTGTCATTTCTCCATACTTTTTCCACAACCATTCTGTATTTGTGCAAAAGTGTTTTTATTTCCACATAAGGTCCAGGCATGGTGGCACAATCCTGCAGTCTCAGAACTTAAGAGGTGGAGGTAAGAGGATTGGGAATTCAAGATCAAGCTCAGCTACATAGCAAGTTCAAGACCAAGACTGAGCTAAGCAAGACCCTGAATTAAAAAAGAATGCACACATGAGTTTTATCATCCAATGCTTGCCTTTCTGTATCTGTTGACTCTCTCTTACTACAACTTTTTCCATGTTCATTCATGTTTAAATGACAAGAGTTGCTTGTTTTTCATTAATAGAATATTCTCTGTTAATGAAATATATTTTACACACCCACCCACCCACACCCACACACACACAAGAACACAAGCACAGACACATTTCTTTGTTTTACCCATTCATGTGTTGATGGACACTTAGGCTAATTTTATATATTATTGTGGATAGCTATTATTTGAGATAGTATTGTGATAAAAACAGAAATACAAAAAGATCTTTTCAACCTATTGATCCCACTATTTCTTTTATATACCTATCCACTACTGAGATTTTTGGATCATGTGACTGTCTTTAATATTTTTGAAGATAAGATCTCTGACACTGCTTTCCATCATGGTTGCATTAATTTTCATTCTTACCAATAGTGTGTGGTCTTCTGTTTTCCCTACATCTTCCCAACAACTGTCTTTCATCCTTTTGGTAGTAGTCATCATCCCAACAGTTGACTGTGCTTAGTCCACATCAGAATGGTTTCTTACCAGTTTTCTATTGCAACACAGTGAACTATCTAATGCCGCTTTTGAAAAACAAAATGTTCACTTTGTTCATAAATGTCCTGGCGGCCAGGGGAGTTTCTTTGGCCCAAGCCTGTGGATGACTCAACACATTTCAGCCAAGATTGCTCTTAAATGATACTATGGCTTTTATTCCGAATGTATCTCCCACAGTGAGAATGAAATTACAGATTTCTTACTTCCAATTCCAAGGTGACTGTGGGAACTTCAGTCCCATAGTAGATCAGTTGGGGACTGACCTGCCTATGGTGTGTTCCTTACAGTTTTTCGCCTCCATGTGGTCTGCTATCATCCTTCCATGGGCCAACCGTGTCTTAGTCACACAGCATCCATAGTACACTACAAAGATTGCAATGACAATGGAAGCAAGCTAGACTTCACTGTAGCAAGCAAGGTCCCTTCTGCTGCATCCTATTGCCCAAAGCAAGAGGCAAGGCCATTCCCGATTCCAGGTAGACAAATCGACTTTACCTCTTGGTGTGAGGAGGACATCACCAGGACAAGGATACAATAGGAGATGCGTGATTAATGCAATTAATTTACTGCAGACCCTTAACATGTGAAAATCTTCTCTAGGGCAGGAGGGAGCCATGACATAAATACCTGTCTCACAAAGTAGACTTTGATAGATGCTGCCCTGCAGGCACCTACCACCGACATCTGATGGAAGACTAGGAAAGGTCTAACTGGAGAGTGGCTGTGAAGGCTGAACAAGAGTGTGGCATTATGAAGAGCCACCATGGACTTCTTTCACAGTGAGTGGGAAGGGACACTGCAGGTGATGGGGTGTATGTGGGGGCAGGGGTCGTGGGCCAGTGAGTAGAACTGAGAGTGTAATTCATACGCGTTTTTGTGTATGCTTATAGACTACAGCCATGGTCTTACTCACAGAGAAATAGTTTAGGGTGGTTAAAAGAATAAATCTGTTTCTCAACTGTGGTATTTCCTAATCCCAATACAAGGCAGAAGGAATCTGGACAAATCACTTCCCCCGTGTGCATTCCCTTTCTTTTTTACAAAACCCCCATTCTCATTTGACTGTGTTAAATGTGACCAAAATGTAATGTGTGGGGCCCTGTAAAACTGAACAAACTTTAAACTCTTAAGAATAAAGTAAATTGTATTTAGTCAACAAGAAGTTAACGTAAGTTCTAGAAATTCAAAGACCATGAGAAGTTAGTTAATATCAACACGTACAAATAATATGAAAAAGCGATTCAATGAAAAAACTCAGAGTGACTACCAAGCACTGCTGCCCATTACTCACTGAGGGAAATACAAGTGATAACTACCTTTTTGTTAGCTTAACGTTAAAAAGAAAAAGAAAAAGATTGACATCCTTTAGAACAAGAGCTGTGGAAACCTCACCCTGAATCTGTTCTACAGAGAACCCCAAATTGACATGAATCCAGAGGCCTCTGGCAGGCTGTTCTCCAAATTTAAATTTTATGAATTTTGATAAGACTCTATTTCATGAAAAACTTAAGAGTTTTCTCTTTGCCCATGTCTTCTCACTCATAACCACAATGTACAACCAAAATATGTATGAATATTAATTTAACCTTTTTATAAAGAGGAAAATTTGGAGGCATCATAAATATCTCCAATGAAACAATTTTTTTCTGTACCAACATGAAGAATATGCATATGTTACTGAAGGGGGAAAAGCAAATGGGAAAAAAGTTGTGCACAGCAAATATGTATGTATGTGTGACTTATGTATGCATGTGTATATGTCACCATATGATGTACTAAGAGCCATGACCTGCCTTCTTGAAATGTGAATGAGAGCAGACTTGACAGTGCTTTGTAAGCTGTAAAGTGCCAGAAATGGTCCAGAGGTGCACCCATGTCTAAATGCAGCTTAAACATTTGAAAAGAAGCCTAAAAGATTTCAAAGCTCTGTGACCATGCCTCCCACTGAAGATCCACATTTGCTTTTCCCAAAGAGATGAGGAAACCACACAAGAAAGATTCTTGGCAAAGGCTTCTGGGGCATTGCAAGTGCAGAAACAATGCCCCCACCAAGCCTGGCCAAGTTTCTTTCTCTGAGGAGAGATGTTCAATGGCAGTGATGCTCCCCGGTTTGTTCTCAGTCCTGACATTCTCTGAAAAAAAAAACCAGTTAAACTACATAACAAACTAATAAAAAATAATTTGGAATCTAGGGCATGATTATGGCCATGGAAGACGCTGATGATCATTTCATGTTGCGATCTGGGGAAAACCTAAAATAGAGCACTCCTCAATTACCATAATTTCAACCGTCATTGCAATGTCTGTACATAAAAGCATTTGGTCTGAGGCACAAGTTTATCTGTAAATTAAACAATAAAGGATAAGGAATGGACTTTCCTTTGAAAGAACAATCAGAATCAGTCATTTATGGGGACATCTTCATCTTACCCGACATGTGAAAGCTACCAAATGTGTACTCCATTATTGTGCAAACTTCTGGAGATTGTCACCCCAGCCCACACCCACCCCTCTCCCAAGTTTAATTAAACCAGTATCACACTGAGACTGGAAGGAAAACACAAAGATACAACAATAAACAAACATTAATCATGATCATTACATACATTTTATTACATGAAATAAACAATACTGTGGAGCTTTCCCCAGACGACAGAGCTCTTCCTCTTGGATAACATCCGAAGGCAATTGAGGGGTAAAATAATACTAATAATGATAATAATAATTAGTATGAAAGGGGGAGAGAGGGGAAAGGGGCTTATCAACACATAAAGCAGAAACCGCGCCCCTCCTTCGTTTATATTAATCTCATATTTGCTCATGCCTTCTTTTTAAGGCCTAATAAGGGTTTCTTCTCAATGAGATAAATGAAAGTATTTTCTTATTTGTTGCCTCTCTTTGGTGTATGTAACTCAACTCAACTGCCCCAGGGCAAAGAGACACTTGGATGATTCTGTCAATATTTGGTCTGCAGCACAGAATTCCACTAGGAAATGGTGTGTGTGTGTGTGTGTGTGTGTGTGTGTGTGTGTGTGTGTGCGTGCGTGTGTGTATGTATGTATGTACCTGAGCCCTCAGGCTCAACTCAAAACCAGAGGAAGAAGGAATGATAAGACTCAGGATGACTCTTTTGTCCTGATTTGGAAACACCAGGCCGCCTTCTCAACAGAACAGATCTTCTCACTTGGACTCTGAATCAAGAATGAGCCCCCTTGCAAGCCCCTTTGTTTCTCTCCAAGGGGCCTCCTGACATTCTTTGTTATAAAGCACATGTTGGGAACTACCACTAAACATGTAATACGGCTGCCCATCTCTATTGTCCCATCTCCACGTGGGAATGACAGGAAATAGGTCCTTTCCTGCAGAGATGCCCTTTAAGGGCCACGGCACCAATCATACATGAATCCCACTTGGTGACCTCACTAATTGTGCAGTCCTGAGGTAGTTGTGACGTGTGTTGCCTATGATACCATCTTAGAGGCTCTGTCAACGCACAGAAAGGCTCAACCTTGCAGGTTCTGCAAATGAGGACATGAATCTGAATAGGAAGTAGTCTATGTGCCTTCTTGAAGTGCTTGGACATGAAGCTCAGAAAGGAAGATTCCAACCCAGACTTTCCAGGCCTTTGAGGAGAAATCTCCCCTCTCTTTCATTGTAAAGGAAGACGAATGGATGGTTTAGTAGAAAGTTTTCTCTTAGGCCTCTGTTCCTGCTCAGAAGAATCTGAGTGTTGATAGTTTACAGTCCAAGAGGAGGAGATCCTGCGTCTCAGTTCAAATGGTTCAAATGGAGACTCTCGGGGGAGCATGTGTGCACTCTTTTGTGGGAAGGTGGCCTGCTGGGAGGTTCACTGGAAGGTGTTAGGATGGCCCTCAGTTCAGAAAATAAGAGAAGGAAGGTTAGTAGGGGACCATCCTTCCTCGGGATTGTCCTGCCTCAGACCAAGATTTCAGTTTCTCTTCTGTGGGAGCGCTTGATGAGATGGCTGGAGAGCCACTACCACCGCACAGGCCCTGGCATTGATGCCCCGTGAGGAAATCCTGAAGAATGGCCACTTTGTGCTGGCGTCTTGTGCATGCTGCCCTGTCTCCTGGAAATGAACTGGGATGCGACCAGTCACATGGAGCCCACTGGAGATTTTATTCCCCATCGTTCCCTAGACACTTTTGGACAAAAACCAAGAAAAGGAATAGGTGAGCAGACGCCCTCTTAAGCCTCCTCTCTACCATAGTCCCTCAGGGAATGTCCCCTACCCTCTGCCTCTATCGTAAATACTCTGATTAAAATGTAAATTTAGCCGACCTATCAGCTTCCCATTAAGGGGACTCTTTAAAAATGCTGTTAATCAGCCGAAAGATATGTAGTGAAATGCCACTCATCAATTGTGACTGCTTATGACAGTTAACAAAGCTTTATATTTGCCCCAAACATGTGCTGATCTATCCATTATGCCAAGGTTCACTCTCACGCTAATTGTACATTCTCGTCTCTAATGCATTTTTGCTGTTATCTCATAGGCTAATGAAAGCCAGGAAATCAATAAATATAAATTATACATGCAAAGAAGGACTGCTACGAACATAAAGTTTCTAATTAATTGCACTTGATTAATTTATATCCTTTAATTATCTTGCTAAGCCACAAACAACATAAATATCTTTGCAATCTGGTTATTGCTATGTCAGTCATAAAAAAAGCAGACACAGTAAATCTATGAAATCTAGCAAGCTGTATTGCCAGAAAACATGAAATGGCATAGCCCATAAATATTATTGAACTCACTCAAGACACTGCCTAATAATTTCAGTGTGACAAATTAACACTAAATATGTTGCATGGTTATTTGACGAAGGTTATAGTGATGTTATAAGTTTAAATGGTACATATGGAGTAAGCAAAAACGTGCATTTCTTACCTCTGGGCTTATAAAAGTCTTTTCAAGCTGGGGAGGAGTAGAGTGTGTTGGGACACATGCAAACATCTCGTCTATTCTGAAAACGCGAGAACTCTTTAGCAGCCCAGCAGAGAGGCAGATTGCTAATGTTCGGTTTATTACTTTCTCTTTGATAAGCTTGGCCAATAAGAAATAATCCCACGTCTTCTGCAAAGACAAAAATAAAATGTGTATTTGAAAGAACAATTGAAATCCAGAAACTGAATCCAGTTTAGGAAGAGCTGGACGCAGTATGCTCTCACTGCCGTAAGGCATGGAACTTTTACATGGAAAGTGGTTTCTTTTTTATTTTATCTGACTCTGCTAAGCCAGCCATCTGTCACTTATCTGAAATCTAATCCTCTCTGTCCACCAAGCTTGCTCTTTGTCCTGGCCACTGCATATTACCAAGCATCTATATCTACAAGTTTCATAAGTGTGTAAAAAGAAACTGTACCTGTCCTCAGCTACTCTCAGACAAAGGCCATCTGTCAGCAACTGAAACTATTCTTTTTCTTTTTTTTAAACATCCGAAGGGATTTGCCCTTCACCAAGTAAACCCACTTAACCCTTCCAATAAGATTAACTGTTATTTGTTTCCATTAAATAAAAATGACCATACTAATATACATTTAATAGTTCCATAACAGTTGCAAAAAGATCAGCTCTCCTGTGGATATCTTTTGTAGATAAAACATACGTGCATATAAATAAAGGAGTTATGACAGCAATTAGATGACCCATAAGGCAGTGGGATGTTTTCACTTCCTTTCTCCACTCTGGGGATGTGAAAGAGAAGGCAGCTTAAAATATAGACGCCAGAAAGTACCATGCTCTCCCCATCTTCAATTTTACAGTAAATAGCACTTCTAGATATAAAGTATGTCTGAATACACACAATTATTGAGATTCAGAGGCCACCCTGTGACTCCTGCCCTCTTCCCGCTGTACATCCTCAGGGACAGTTTTATAGCCCTCAGGCCATGCCGTTTCAAGTCTGTGTATGTGCGGTATACAAATAGAGCCTCACTCAGTATCGCTGTAATTATGGGAATTTGTTGTTGGTGGGGAATAGCTGTATTTAGTGACACTAATGTGGCGCTGCGGTAACATTTGGGGAGTCCTGTCTCCTATTTCCATTCTAAAGATTGCCAACATTGTTCGGATTAGCATTTCAGAAGCAAAATAAATAATGCATTTGCTTCGGTAGAAGGGCCTAGGAAAAGTTTTCAAGCTTTTTTTTTTTTTAAACTTTTTGGTCATTGTAAACAGATTGCTCTAGATAGCTGTGTTGTCACATACTTAAATTAGGACAGCTGAAGTATGAGAATAGATTCAGTTTACCTGTATGTCCTGCAGCCTTCCTAATACCTCTCTCTCTCTCTCTCTCTCTCTCTCTCTGTGTGTGTGTGTGTGTGTGTGTGTGTGTGCATTTCCACCAGGAACTCAATGGGGAAAGGACAGGTTGTTTCAGAGACGACAGGATGGGATGGGCAGATGGGTCAGTGGGCATGGAGCAGAACCCACAGTGGCCTGGCATTCCCAGCTGCTGGCCTATGCAGGGACTGAGGCACCTTTGTTTCTGCAAGGTGGTACGGTGGGAAGTGACAAAACAAGCAAAGGAAATGGAATTTTCTTTCGTTCTCAGAACATCTAGATTTGTCTCCCTTGAACTATTTTATGAAGTCATGACTGTTGAGTTTCACGGGCAAGTCCAATTAAAAGGTTCCCCAGCCCAAACAGATACCTGGCACTTGTCAGTCACGCCCCTTTTCCTCTCTGCCTTGAGTGGAGCCTAGAACTTGCCATGGCAATTTTGCCTTCCTCAGATGCTCAGGAGGGTTATGGCAGAACCACCACCCATCCCATCCTGCCTCAGTGCTCTGCCTCAGGCTCCTCTCCAGCCACTCTTCTCTTGGAGACTGCAGCTCAGACCCCAGACTTCAAGTTTCTCACCCAGGGAGTGTCTAGAGAAACAGGAAGTAACCTGGTGATGTGCTCCGTGCAAAAGTGGCATAGACCCCGAAGAGACAGGTGATCTCTTGATGCTGAAATCAGATGGATGAAGAGCCTTTTTGGATGTAACTCATTTGCCTGACACTGGTGCTCCAAGGTAAAGGCACTCAGAGCAGGCAGACGCCTGGTAAGTATGGCAACCGAGCTTTCTCCTAGCTGGAGCATGGAAAACTACCACGTGTCCAGCAGGAAGTGTGCATCCCCCACCGCAGCTCCCCAGCTTTGTCATTTTCGATTTAATGCACCTATGTAGCAAGCCGACTCACTAGGTTTGACTGCAATTACCTTATCTTTCCTATTTTTAGTGACAGGACCAGATTATTTTAAGTGCGTTTTATAGAAAACCCTTCTTTACTGAAGTATAAAGACTGTAATAAAGACAATACAATGTTTTGAAACTGTTTTAAATCCTTCACTCAGCATTGCGTCTACAGATTTAACATGTAGGGGTTCTAATCTTACTGCTACTAATTAGAGCTTTAGTGTAATTGTGCCAACAGGGCGCTTGGCATAATAATTACTATTGAGAGACTCTGGTGGCGCAGTAACATGCCTACATAATGCAGATATGTCTACGATTACAGTGCAGGCACCTTTGTATGTTGACTCAAGTTGGATTTTAACCAAGTAAGGGGTTATTTTGCCTTTATAATAAAGCTTAAAAGGCATATACATATGTATGATTTAGGTATCCATTTTTCCTCTTTGAGCCTTTTGAATATTAATTAGCAGGAACTTCAGAAGGCAACAGGGACACATTTTGTTTTTCAGATCTCACAATTTGGGACACATGACTGTGTGAGTGGGGTTCTCCATGCTGATGCAGTCCGGCTAGACCATATGGTGGCCTGCTCCTGGGATGTTTGGTGTGGGGGTGTGCAGGAGGGGGCACTTTGGAGCAAGATACCATGCCTTGAGACAAACAGGGAAGGGGGGATGAGGAATGGGGTATCCACAGAGACCTCAGCGATGGTCTGCCCCTTACATCTTTAGGGTTACAGCCTGTGCTGTGGAATACCATTTGTACCCAGGCTAGACTGTACAGCTGTGATGACAATGATCTGAGTTTCCTACTGATTACTCCAAGGCAGAGGTTTGGAAGATGTGTTCAATAGTTGTCTATGGTGTGCAGTATGTGGAGTATGTGTATGGGGGTACTCTGTCCACTCTCATCTTTCTCCAGGTAGGATACACCTAAAATCGGCTCACTGGCAAAGGCCATGCTTGTTTGTTTGTTTGTTTGTTTGAGTTTGTTGCTCCTGGGCACAGTGAGCTGAAGGCAGGGCCTGTGTCCAAATGCATCGCTCCTGCCAGTCCAGCACTCCATGTGCTGTTAGTGACATGTTCCTTGGCACGAATGCAGCTGTTCCTTTTTTCCTTGTGTGTGTGTATGGCTTTTTGCATGAGTGGCTTTTATTTTCAGCGCAGGTGAAAGAGTTTCTACAAAACTGATTTCACAGAACAATAAGTCACCAAAGAGGGTCACTGGTCACTTAAAGTGCTCTGCAGAGGGTTCTTTTAATTTTTTTTAAAAAAATGTAATAAATATATTTAAGAGGTAGTGTGCAATGGCTAAGAGCCCAACCCATAACTCCATTTTTAGCTCAACAGCCTTGTTTTTATTGCCCCTTAGTGCCTCACTTTTAAAGTGACAGGAAACCAATTTCTGATTACAAATCAATGGGTTAGGATGTCACCCTTGGACACTGAATGCAGCTGTAAATCCTCTGAGTGGCCCGTAATGCTGGGGAATTGGGGGTCAGGGAGTAAAGACAATTGCTTTGTACAAGGAGGGTGGAAATGTCTGTGTTAACACGGTGTTTAATACCTGCATCTCTGGGGAAGACCCAGGCAGTGCCAGCATGCAGCTGCTTTCGGTCCACCAATCCAGCAGCTGACAGGGCGTGTTGGCCACACAGGCCAGAAGTATCTGTACATTTTCCATTTTTCCCTGGGACACTGTGACTGTGTCCCACTGGTGAGCCTATGGGACCTTTGTCCCCTGGACATACTCCATCTTTGCCACATCATGTTAACCAGAGTACCTGTGCTCTTGTCGTGTAAGGCACCTTTTGATGATGCCCTTTCTTCTTTAAGCTCTTAAGGTAATCTTAGAGAAATCATCAAGCTATAAAAAGAAATCAATAAAAACAGAAAAGGTTCCCATCACCCCGAAAAAAATCCATAACGTTTGCATTTTAATAGAGACACTACAGGGGCAGGTCCGTCATTTTCTTTCTGATGTGTTCCTTTGATTTCCCTGGCAGCTCGCAGGGCTCTTGACTTTCTTGAGAAAAGGGATTATTGAATTGTGTGTCTCCCTCAGATGTACTTGATCACTCAAGTATCTGTACTTACGAACGTTAGAGTCTGTTCAGCTGTTGTCTCTTTGGGAGCTCATCATGCCTGTCATCTTAATATTAATTGGGTTTTGTGTAGGAATCTCAAGCCCCACATTGAGTGGCTTTCAAGAGAGAAGATTATGCTCAAAGCCAGATACGAAGACAAACAAATTTAGCACAACAATTATCATAATTGCAGAAACATTCTGTCGCAAAATAAGCAAATCTGATTAAGAGCCCTTCTACATTCTCAAATATTAATCTGGTGTGTACAGCCTAACCTGGCTGAACCTCAGAGGCTTCTTATGGTTTTATGTATTCACAGGCTTACAGAAGCTGAACGGAGACAAGCTAATAGCATGAGACAGCCATGCCAGGATGGTAAAAGAATCTCTGCTGAATGTAATCCACTTAAATTGAAAGTAGTAACAGATAGGATCATAAACCTGAAGTCCGAATTAAAACATATCCTGCCAATGAGATGTTTTTGTGTAATTCCAACCACATGGTCACTCTGAAACATATTGTGGAAAAGCATTATTACGATGCCGTTCATTTGAAAAACAAGGTCAATATCTTTATGGTCGATCATCACAATAAAAGGTACAGCCCCCCCCCCGAACCTTCCTTCCTAGGCTTTCTTGATACCCACACAATGTTGGAAGCTGTAACATTCCTGCTAAGCAGGAGAGTTAATTTTATTTGTAATTTTCAGCTGCTTTTAGTTTAATTGCGCAATTTCCTCAATTATTAAAGTTCACTCTGCGTGCTTAAGTTCATTAGCCATTGTCAAATGGGCAAATTACTTTGCAATTTTAATATTTGTTGGATAAAGCTGCACTAATAGAATCACTCTCCCGACCCAGCCTTTACTTTGCTGCAGCTCCCATTGCAGCTGTGATAGGTGCCAGGAATTGCATCTCACTTTGCTCCTTCTCTAAGACAGCTTCGCCCCTGTTGGTGACTTCAGCTGCACAGGTATAGACTTTTCTGTCTGTTGGCTTCAAAGGGGGAGAGTCTGGGAGGCAGACACCATTGGTAGCATTCGAGTTGTCATAAATGCATAGGAAAAAGTATCTGTGGTGGTAAAATTTCTCAGACATGAGCAGTAAGCTATAGTCATATGTTTATATTAACCTACGGGAACACTACCGGCTTTCTCAATAACCAATACATCAGGCTTTCAGTCATCAACATTTTTAATCACTACACTGTACATATATTATCGATGCTAGCATATATGTGTACTGCATCAGGTATGTGTATATGTATGCACATATATGTGCATATTTTAATTTTTCCACAATCTAAGTGCTGAAGTGTTGAGAAGATTCTCTCTCTCTCTCTCTCTCTCTCTCTCTCTCTCTCTCTCACACACACACACACACACACACACACACACACACACACGCACGACATCTCACTGGGCTATTTAATGTATGTGTATGCTGGCTGTACTTAAATATACATGCTAACCCCTGTAACAAAAACACGACTTTCTACTTGCTTCGCCCCTTTCTTTTCTGAGGCCCCCATGCCCCTTCACCGATCTCATTTGATTAATGATGATGGACTTGCTCCCTGGCAGTGCCACCCCATCCTCTGGGGAGGCAGATTGCTGAAATGTACCCATGTCGTTAATCTGAAAACAAGCGTCCCCACCTGCTGCCGACTGTGTGCCCTGTGCACACACACAACTCCAAAATGTCTGGGTCCCAAGACTTCCAGCCCTAGAGGACAAAACCCTGGCAGCATGGCTTATCTCCCCAATAATTAGCCTTGTGTTTCTGCTTTATTAACTCCAATACAACAGCGCCCTGCCCTCTGTCACCAGGGAGACTAACAGACGACAGTCACTCCGATTTGGAAGCCACACAAATTAAATGACTGAAGTGAGGGGAAGCGAAGTTAAGGCAAATGGTGTCAGATAAGGCAGTCAATCATTTACATAGGAGGTTTTCAAACGTTAAACGGGCGTGTATGCGTGGGTGCGTGCGTGCGTGCGTGAGTGCGTGCGCGGGGTGGAGCTTGATTTTCCAGGTATCAATGCAACAGCGTTAAAACAAATCATCCCCGCTTCCCTGTTCAAGTTTGTGATAGGGAATTCCCAAAATGATGCTACAAGTAATTGATGGCCTACGTCTAAAGCCAAGGTCACCTTTCCATCTCCCAAAGACTTTTTAAAAAAAACGTTTCCTAAGAAACGGTTTCTTCCTGTTCCTGTGGGTGCCGATCCACGTGCAAGGTCTCCCACTGGTAGTCCCCCATGCCCCTTCTCTGCCCCCACAGATTTGTTATGCCTTTTTAACTTTGTGTTTTTCCTTCCTGGGGTGGGGTGTGTAGAAAGCACACACCTTATGTACAATTAAAATTACCCAAGGAAAGAAAATAAAATAGAAATATTCCTGGGGTGGGGTGGGGTGGGGTGGGGTAGGGTTGGGCATCCAGCCTCTCTGATTTCCACCAGTCTTCTGTGGAGCTATAACAGTGTGTTTAGTAATCTCACTTAAGGAGCAACATTAGCCACATTAGCTCTGGCTACGAAGCTGCAAGTTTTGGAGAAAGCTGATGAGATGTGATTATCTCCATGCAGAAATACCAGGGCGGTTAGAAGATAATTTGAAATGAAGTTAAAAATGAAGCGACACCAAGCTTCTCTCGCTTGTGTCAAAACAATCACATTTTCTCCTTTCTTTTTTCTCCCCCCTTTCACTCAGATGGCACTGGCTCACATTGGGGGTGGAGACCTGCCTCCTTGCAAACTGTAATCCTCGGCTAATTTTAAATTTGAGATGACTCTGTTTGAAAGACAGCTCTAAATTTTGATCCCCAAATCAGCTTCTGGAGATTACAGATAGAGGTTGCCATGCTGGCAATACTGAGCAAGCCTTAGGCATCCCTGTGACTCACAGACCTGAGTTTTTATTTTTCAATGCTAGCAATATTCAGGTATGAATAGCGTGTTGTGGTAATAAGTGACATTTGGTTGCAAAAATGTCTTTGAACTTTAGCTTAAAAGAAGTGAAAACAGATGTAAAGAAGCATCAAATGTTAAACACTGTATCTACTGAATCACTGTGAATGGAGCTACTGAGTCAAGTGACAAGTTTTTAAAACTAGGTGAATATTTCTTACTTTGAGAAGATGTGTATTAGTGCTAGGTACATTGTCCTTACACTATCTAAAGCTTGTAGCAATAGTTCATGATTTATAAAAACAAACCAGTAAATATGGATTGCAACCATTAATATTATTTCTCTGTGCATAGATGTAATAATCAAACCCCTTGGTGCAAACTAAAGCAAGAGCTCAGTTTTGTGCTTTTATATAAATGGTGGTTAGGTTCTTCTGTAAGCTTCGAAGGTTCAAGCAGCATGGTTGGAAAAGAAGTTTGGAGTTACCGCACAGGACATTACAACTGTGTTCTCACTGCAGTGTGTGCGTGTGTTGGGGGGGGGAGTCATAAAAACTGGTTCCATGCGGGGGCGGCAGAGGGAAAGCCTTTAGAGCTCCACCCGCCCCTGTGTCATCAGTCATTTAAGAGTAGGGTCTGCCACTTCCTCCCACTCTGCAGTGCTGGTGATGTTTATGCTGGTAGAAAGATGACAATTAGTTATATTTATCCCTTGTGGGTCCATTTAATCCCCTCTGTTTTTACTCCCATCAAATCCATTATCCCAAACAAAGCCGCATATGTCTTGTTGGAGATGCATTCAGACTGTCCTTGTTTACTTTGAGAAGACGAATTTTATGGCAACATCAAATGCACAGTGAAACCTCACCAATGGAGCCATTTGGCATGGTGAATCCACCCTATTGGCACCTCTTATCTGCCTCACTCCACTGTTGTTTAAGTTGGTCCCTAAACCCTGGGTCTCTCCCACAGTTCCTAAATTTTCTCCACAATTTTGCATTTATGATCATCGTGCCCATGTATTTCCAGCAGCCACAAAACAGAGCCCTGTCTTCGAGCAGCCAAAGGCTTTTTCTTGAAAATGGCTTGAATTTCTTCCTAACACAATACATGTTTTATTTATTTATATATTTTAGTCCAATTTAGAAGAAGAGAAGAAGAGAGGGAGAAAAAGGAGGAGGAGGAGGAGGAGGAGGAGGGGAAGAAGAAGAAGAAGAAGAAGAAGAAGAAGAAGAAGAAGAAGAAGAAGGAGAAGGAGAAGGAGAAGGAGAAGGAGAAGGAGAAGGAGAAGGAGAAGGAGAAGGAGAAGGAGAAGGAGAAGGAGAAGGAGAAGGAGAGGGAGAGGGAGAGGGAGAAGGAGAGGGAGGAGAAGAAGGAGGAGGAGGAGGAGGAGAAGAAGAAGAAAAGTCTCTTGTTTGCTTAGAAAGAAAATCTTAGATACTCTTTACTTACATTTTTTTTCAAAACTTCTTTGTCTTCCAAAGCAAGTTGGCTGCTAATATGGAAGTTGTACAAGTGATGTGATCAGAAAATGCAGACCTGTGATAGCTGACGACGACACTGTGAGGGTAAGGACACGTGTGTTTGAATGCCTGGTTTCACCAGAAAAAAAAATCACCGTGTGGCAAACGTTAATAATATCGAGGCTTGAATACAAGGTCAGAATGAGTGGCGCAGACTAAAGGAAATCACTGCTTAATTCCACAAACTTTGTTGCAGTCCTGGAATCACAAATCACACACACACACACACACACATACACACACACACATACACACACCTTTGAATCACACTCAATCACACACATACACACACACAAAACCTTTGAATGGTCCCCTCCTCAGTGCCAGCCCAGCACACCAGGATCATTATGCGCGGCGCAGCGCCATCTGCTGGCGGCAGCGCACCGCCCCAAATCTCCCTGCCTTACTGCTGCCTCTGTAAGTCACACATGGGGGCTCAGCACCTTACTCCTTTGAGGTTCCAGCTTCGGGTTAGGCCTGCTTGCACAAAACCAGAAAGAGCAAACTAGCGACGCTGTGCAAGGAAGAAAACTGCGCAGGAGAAGCCGTTTCCCAAGGCCTATTGAGCGTGTAAACGGGGGAAATGGATAAGTTTGCAAGCGGTCCCCGAGATCTTGCCCAGGTTTCCATCACTAAAGAAGTGGGATTTCATTGCGTGCAAATCGCCAGTGAAAGACGGGAATGGAGATGGCGCACTCGCCCTTGCTTCTAAATGCAGCACCCATTCCAGTCTGTGTGCCTGGGGTGCTGTGAGTGAGTGTTGGAGAAAAGGAGACCGTGGGATGGAGACCACTATTCCGAAAGGGCGAGATGAAAAAGCTAAGACACCCCCTTACTCTTCCCCCACGGGCCCTTAGAAAGCTATTGTAGATAAGGCATCACTAGCAGTCACTTAGCGGGGGCGAGGTGGGGGAGCTTCCTTAGACATACTGTCTCCTGGTCCACGTAGTTCGGGTCTTTTCCCATTTACCTGTGAGGAGTTCCTGTGCCAAGTTCCCTGGGTTTCAGATTCTACCCTTGGGGAAGACTGCTCTGCAGGGGTTTGGTGAATTGGCCATTTGCTCCTACCCTGGTGGAGGTTCTCTGGGCCCTGGTGGAAGGTGATGTATGCAGCTGGGGTAATTAATTTTCCCTCATGCCCAGTAGCTTACCCTCTCATCCCCCGCCGTGCAGGATTCTCAGAAAGGAACACAAGAACTTGGAGCAGCTAAGAAAACAAGCCATGCAAGCAAATTTGAATTTCAGATAAAAAAGCAAAGGTGTTTTGTTGCCACAAGAATGTCCCTCCCTTTGTGTTTCCTTCTCTATCTCTTTTCCTTCCTCCCTCCCTCCCTCCCTCCCCCCTCCCTCCCTCCCTCCCTCCCTCCCCTCCTCCCCCTTTCCCTCCCTTTGTCCCCATGTCTCTCTACCCTCTTCCCCTTCCTTTCCTCCCCCTTCTTCCCTCCATTTTTCTGTCACTCTTCCTTCCTCCCTTTCTTTTTCATGCCCTCTCTCCTTGTTTCTTGCTTTCTTCCTTTGTGTTTTTTGTTTTTTTCTAAACGCAACGCCCTGACAGAGGCCTCCAGTATAAGTCTTTAGATGGGAACCGAAATCGACAGAGACAAAGTAATTTGCCAGGATACACAGCAGGGGTCAAGGCAACAGAGTCAGAAATTAGGTGTCTAAATTCAGTCTGGATCTTGGTCACCCATATAACCTCTTGTCCTCCAGGACAGCCCACAGGGCAGAGCACCCAGTCACACAGCCAGGTCTTACAGTATCATCCTTGGGACCAAGAACCATCAAGCAAAATAACACTCATTTGTAAGTAGCTCTCCAACCATCTATAAGCAACGCTGCCATAGTGAATATTTATGGAGCAGGCCCCTCTTTGGAAGGGCCCCAAACTTTTCTTTTTCTGTGACCATTGTTCTAGTTTGTTTTAAGGATTTGTCTATCAAGTGATCCCAAACACTTTGTTACAAGGAAATGCAAATTCCTGTTACATCTTTCTCTCTCCAGAGCAACAGTCTTGCTTCCTTGGATTTTGTGTGTAGACCACTGTTTCTGCCGTGGGCTAGGCTACCTGATGGTTGTGTTGTGTAAACAGCCTTGGCTGTGCCCCTTATTATATCTAAGCCTTGTTTTCCTTTTTTGGAAGCTAAGGGATCAATTCTGGGTCTGAAATTCTAGGTTTCTAAAAACCAGCCCCTCACTTTATCATTTGTTGTTGAGGTTCCAACTTGAATGTAGCAGGGAGAATGGCACCCCAGCTCTCAGTGACACCCTACTATCAGCACAGTGGCAGACAGGTTTGTGCTAACTTAATGGAGGAAAAGGCAGGCTCAGCCCACTACACTCAAATCCTAAGGTAACAATGTAGCAGGGACTGTGTTATGGGTCTTTGAACTAAACCACTGCCTCTGGAGGGGCTAAATAGGCCATAGCAACAAGATCCAGGGCAAGGAGCTGGGTTTTCTTAGAGCTGTATCCCAAAGGTCCAGATGTGGATGCCCACACAGGCCTGTTCTTTACAAGAGAAGAAGAGTTGGTAGGAGATGGTGTTAACGCTACGGTGTCTGAAAGCTGTGGTTTCACAGTTTCCAAGTACACCAGAAGGAAAAGCTGGAGAGGGGCTGGGGGAGGTGACTACAGTTGTGGCTTCCCCACAGCTTTCCTTAGTCTCTCTACACGTGTTCGCCTTGGACTTCCTTCAGTGAGAAGCAGAATTAGCAAGGGGTGGGGCGGGGCCGGAATGCTGGAGCGCTCAGGCTGCCTGCCTCTGCAGACCTTTGTGTGTCTGGGCTCTGGTTTCCCAGGACCAGCCTTCTGATCCTATCCCCGAACTCCACAGCAGGAACCAAGCCCTCAAGTGCTCAAGGCACCTCACCAATGGGTGCTGCAACATCGCAGCTGCACAGAGTATTTCTTCTGAGGTGTGAGATGTCTTCCGGGCATTTGAGTCATCCTTGGAGCTTTCCCTCTGAGCAGCGACTCTGTCGCTTTTCAGATTCCGTTTCAAGAGGCTACTGGCCAAGCCTGGACTTAGCCGAGTCTGCAGGCAGGATTCTGATTAGTAATGTTAACTGCTATGTGACATTTATATTTTGTAGTATTTTCTGCTGTGGTTTTGGTAGTGCTGGGATGAAACTCGGAGTCTTGCATATAGCAGGAAAATACTTTACTACTGAGCTATCCCCAGCCTCGTTTGCTGCACAGTATCTTAATAGCTCCCCGACGACCCAGGGAAGCTGTCTGACCATTGGGACAATTCTATGGACACAAATTATGAAGTACCAAGATTAAGCAAAAGGTTGGAGGCTTTAGCTACTGACTTGTACATCCTGGGGATTCATGGAGATGGTTGGTGCCTCCTCTGGTCAAATGTGTAGTAAAACCATAGCTAGTGCATAGCTTCTGTCTCTCTGTGTCTTTTTTAGTGCTCCTCATTCTTTCTTCTGCTGTCTACAAACAACACAGACACAGAGACACACAGACACACACACACACACACACACATGAAGAAAGAAGGATGGCTGGATGGGTAGACAGACAGTAAGATAGAATATATTAAGTCTTCACTAATCAGAACATTTTGCAAATGCAATTTCTGGAAATTCCATCAATTTTGCAGGTAAGCAACAGACATTTCAGGGTAGACACTGAGTCCATGGTTGCTGAGGGGTGGATTCTGAGCTCCAAGCTCCTCTTATAACCTCCAGACTGGCTGACTAAGACACCACCCTGAGGCCAGTGTGTGTGCTACAATCAAAGCTCACTACCACCACCGTGAGCACAATGACAGAGAGAAAACTGTCGTCTTTCACAGAACTTTTCAACTCAGGACATTCTCTATGAGGAAAATGACCAAGATATGGGAAAGGAGGGTCATGCTTAACAACAACAACAAAAAAAGCCACCCGCAAAACAACTGTTTGCTACCTGTTATCTTCCCTGTTTTTCTGATTTGGGGTGACTCACCCCCACCCCCACTGGGATCTCTACACAATGGGGGACTCCAGTCTCGGGAGGAGGTAATAGTTTCCATCCCAGAGAAGCAAATAGCTTCTCCACAGGAGACCGAAGCCTGACAGAAAATCTTAGGGAAAGGCCCAACAGCTTCCTCATGGGTTTCCAGAGCCAGGGCTCACATCCCTTCAGTCTTGTGGAGCCTACTCGGGAGATCTATCCCTGTGGACAAGCTCCTCACTCTTCCAGTTCCTGCAACCCCAGTGGTTTCTGGCAACCATCCCCAGCTACCCACCTCCCATCAGGTACTAGAGGGACTTCTTGGAGCAAGCCTCAGCCCTACATTAGCCACTCAACTCCAGTGACTGATGAAGAAAGAAAGGGGGAACCATTTCCTCATCCTGCAGAGGCACCAGACACGCTGATGTATGATGGACTGTGAGACCAGCAGGCTCACTGTACACTGCTTCAGGTGCTAACACTCTGTTCTCTGTCAAATGGGGATAATGACACACATGTCACTGGGGATTTCAGGGACAAATGAAGGCAGTCACCCACAACATGCCTGCACAGAGCCTGAGAGCTAGGGTCATTGAACAATTTCTAAAAGTCCAGATGGAAAATGTTTTAGGCTTTGTGGACCATGTAGTGCTGACTCCAACTGCTTAGCTGTGTTGTAGCATGGAAATAGCCAGGGACCATGTGGAAATGAATCGTGTGATGGTGTTCCAATAAGTCTTTATTTATAGGAACAAGTAGTAGGTAAGATCTGGCTCCTGGCTTGTGGTTTTCTGATGCTTGTTTGTTAATGTGACTAATAGTTAAATGTTAGCAGTATTTATGACAGGTACCATGCTAATGAGCCAACAATACACAAAGAAATGTGGGTAAATATCAAGATGTGGTCTCTCTCTCTTCTGGTAACCTGAAGTATGAGAGGAAGGGAAGCATCTTATCAGAAACTCATGCAAGGATCCACTGAACTCAAAAGAGATATTAAAATTAAAAACTGCAAAATCTAGAACCATTTGTTGTTAATCCTACCAGCAAGAATAAGACCACTGCCATAATTTTGAGCCAAATTTGAGGCAAGCTTTAATTAAATACTGGCCAGGATGATGGACTCTGGCCAGTTCCTTCCAGGGTTCACAGAAAATGGTGATAAGTCACATTTTTCAGAGGGCTATAAAGACAAACCCATAAGGTCACTGCATTTTATCAGGTCCAATCAGAGGCAAGCGTACATCCTGACATATTTCCTGTCCACACACCTCCACCTTCAGTGATGAAGCACATCCAGTGCAGTTGAGTCAATTAAACCTGCTAGGAGGAGTGAAAACATGTGGCTTGTTGTCTCCCATAAACAATACCTCCAGCATTTCAAGAACTATCTGTCCATGAGCCAGGGGCTTACAGGCTAGAGGCGCTTTACTTTACAGATCTCTTAGACACAGTAATTACAACTTAAAACATAACTTAGGTTTGTAAATTCCCAGCTTCACCCTGGGAAAGTAAATCAGAAATGCTTTTCCACTTGCCTGAATGTTAAATCATTTGAATTGAGAGACTTTTATTTTTCAAGAAAAGTACAAGTGACATCACTGTGTGTCACACACTGAAAATGACTAGGTGAGAAAGATCATTGGGGTGGACAGCTGGGATGCCTGGTCTGCACTCGGCTAGTTGGCCCAAGTCAGTGCTGGGACAGTCAGAACAGCCGCTTGATGTGTGTGGAGAGGGCTCCTGAATTCAACCAGAGACTTCAAGATGAAGAGGACTGCGAGCCTGACTGAAAAACAGAGGCGGAACACAGCATCCATAAGACCAAGGTGGAACTCCAGAGGTGTCTAAAAAATCTGAGGTTGAGAGGTGTGTCAAAGACTACCTACCATCTGCCTGTCTATCCATCATCTGTCTGTCATCTATCTCTCTCATCTAGACTTCAAGGTCAGTGAGGTCAATTACACAGAAGTAGCTAAGCAGGTGCTTCACGTAGCCCCTCCACATCTGAGCAGAGCTGAACCATGCTTGATTTGATCTGAGGCCAATAGGATATTTTCCAAACTCACTCATCTCTTCCTTTTACAGCTACTGCTGAACATGTGATGTCAGCATTTCTTGGACATACATGCTAAGAACCATGAACATTAAGTTAAGGGTAGAGTTCACACCGACTACAGGGCAGTCACAGAAGCTCCATGGAAGGTGTGGTGTGGCTGTCTGGATGAGAAAGCAGCTAGACCCTTGACCCATCATCCATCACCCTGCCTTCCGGTCAACTTTTGATAGTCACCAAGACCCTGGGCTCAGAAACTCACCAAGAGCCTGTGTCACATCTGACGCACTTCCTGTATCTCACCGGATGACTTCTCCCTTTACAACCCAGCAGGGGCAGTACCTTCTTGTCCAGCTTCTTTATGCTTTTCCCTCCAGTTGTTTACCTCATAGGGTTTTACGCTTCCTGTCCCTCCAGTTCCGCTGAGAGACAGCAGGCCAGCAGACAGCCCACTTCTCTCTGTTGCCCCGCCCACTTCTCTCTGTCGCCCCGCCCACTTCTCTCCGCCGCCCCGCCCACTTCTCTTCGTCACCCCGCCCTCCAGAAGAGCACCCAGGTCCACGACAGAACTAAGTGTCATGTGCTTCTTGGTTCCTCCTCCCTCTTCTCTTGATGTTTGTCTTTGTCCCAGATGTGACAGTTGCATGATAAAGCAGGGCAATTCTACCATTAAGCAGGCTTCTGGGAGGCAGGGGGTTTGGGGCTCTGGAGTTCTAAGCCCCAGCCCAAACTTAGCCAGGACTCTCATTTTCAAAGGCAATCTCAAGATGAATATCAAAGAATCTGAAGAATCCACATCGGAAAACCTGTCAGAAAATTGTTGGGAAAATAAAGTGAATCAATAGAATGTCAAGAGACTCAGATGGAAAAAATATTGAATATTCATTTTCTCTGTTTCACAGGGAAGGGGATTTAACAGGACCAAGGCAGCTGGGGGGATTTCCGGCTTCCCTTGCAATGGTTCAAATAATTTTTTGTGCTGTGCAATGGATTAGTATTCAATTAACTCTTTTAAATTATAATGCACAACTTCAACACACTTGTTAACGAGTCTACAGCACAATTAGAGTATTTAATAGTCACCAGGTAAAACAAATGAATTTCTATAAACAGAGAAATCTAAACCAAATTCAGCAAACAATTCCATTTGCAAATCTATTCCATGTTCGAATTCTTCGGTAACACATGCAGACACCAGAGAAAAACGATGGAGGGTCCTGTTATCCACATGCAATTATCCAAAGTCTGATGTCAAATCAGACTTTGGGAAGACGGTGCAGTGGTAAATCACTTGTGCAAACCGAGGCCTGGAGTTAGATACCTAGAATCCACATAAAATTGAGGCCGGAACAGCAATCGCCTATAATCCTGGCACACAAGGCAGGCTGCCTAAGGAGACTACCAAGAATTGGTAAATTCCAGGTTCAGAGAGAGATGAAGCTTCAATAAACAAATTGGAGAGTGACCGGGGAAGATACACAATGTCAACTTCAGACACACACAGGCACAACGAGTGTGTCCCTATACACTCTAACATACATGCACATACGTTCATACAGTATATATGTATACATACTTTTAAAAAGTGTTTCTTTTTGATGTGGTCACAGTCCAGGAAATCTGATAGGCTAACACAACCATCACCAAGTAAGGGAAGTAATTGGTCCAGTTTGTTACTGGGTGGGTGTAGGAGGGGCCGGCAACCACATCTCAGTGCAAAAGGGGATCCTCTGAGTGGTGCACCAGACTGAAAACACCACTCGATACACATGCCGGCATTTCCGTGAATTCTCTTATGGTCTTCACATATCTACTCGCTCACAGGACAGAAGAGAACAAAAATCCCAGATGAAGGATGGGAATTCTGAGGAGAAGCTAAATGCCCTCTTTGTGAAAATGCGTAAGAAAGTCTGTGACAAAATAGAGACACCAGCTTTCTGAGGCTACTTTGTTTTTGTGATAAGGTTTCCCCCAGGCTGTAGTTCAAGCTGGCCTCACATTCTGGCAAGTCTTCTGCCTCAACCTCGCAGTCTGTGAGCCACCACCCCAGCTTCGCTACATTTCTTTAATATTTTGCTACATACTCTCTTGCCTCCTGGCGCTGTCATCACCAGCTACACCACCATATGTTATGCCAGGATCATTTCTGAATTTTCTCAGTTTGGACAAGTACATTTCAAGACCTTTCAGCATTTGGTTCAATGCTAAATTAATTACCTCCAGTGAGGAATTCTGCATCTTGATTTGATATACTGTAAAATAACTATGGAATCCAGATTTTTAAGCCCACACATTGCATTTTCCAACATTTTATTCCTTGGTGGCCTTTTATGAAAGAGTTTAACTGTGTGATAGAGTGATATCATGGGGAACACAGTTTTGCTCATGTATTGAGGGATTCCCCCTGTCACTCACCAATGCAAAATATCCAATCTCCCCATTCTCTGCAAGGCCCACACAACCATGATGAAGTCATATTACCCCTTAAGTTCATCAATTGCTCCTGACACTTTGCAGAAGAGAGGGGACATCTTTTATCCCCAGAACTGTAAAATCCTGTCACCATTCTTACGTACCCACTCCAACAGCAATAAAATCAACAGGGAGAGGGACAGTTTCATTTAGTTTTTAGAACTATTTCTACTCTGGCCTTAGATAAGTTTTCAAGCCAAAGGCAAAGTTGTTGATGCATACCTTTGCATATCAAGAGAGAAAGAATACTGAGTACCAAACTTTTGCTCTTTGAAGAAAGGAACGAGCTGGCCTGCCACATCAGAAGAACAGAGCGCTGTCCAGTAAGCCAGTAAGTCATCAGTTAAACAGGACCCCTCCCTGGTCTAGTTTTAATTAATGTTTTTTTAAAATTCCCTAAATTAAACTTCATTCCCCAATTACTCTTCAGTGCTGTCTGCTGCTGTTTCTGTATGATTTGCTACATGAAACTCGCAAAAACAAAAAACTCTTTTAAAGAGGAATCTAAGACTGGTCTATTTATATACCTAGTTTCTCTGACATTAAACATATATCAAAGAGTTGTTGATCAGAAAGTTATTTGTTTGCTGAATTGGACAAAATGTCCAACTATATGATTTCAGAGAAAAATACTGCCCCTTTCTCACAAACACAGAGATAGATAGCTCGATCACACTAGTAACTATAATGTCTCCAAATTAGAGTTTAAATTATCTCAATTTCTCATAATGTTTTCACCATATAAAAAAATCTCAAAGCTAATGAAGAAGAATTGACCCATAACAATAACCAAGAATATTTGGGAAATTAGTAAGGGAGAAATAAGTTGTTAATTCACGAATTAGAATATTTTAGGAAATAATAGCTGAATCAGCGTGGTGTTGACACTGGACCAATGAAACAGATAGACATCCCACAAACATCTCCAGGAAAATGTAAGGACTATGACAAAAGTGACACTTACAACTGCAAAAGATAAGCATTTTATTCAACTTTAGTTTTTAACAACTAGTTATTGTCTTGGAGGAACAGAGTGGAGTTATCCTAAATATACAATCAGGAAGACAGATTCATGTAAAAATATCTGTAAGTATAAAAAGATTGTTTAAGAATATGGAGGAAGGTATTTGTATGCCATTGGATTGAAAAAAATATATACATATATAGTATGCATGTATCTATATGTATGCCCATGGCAGAAATTATGAAGGCTATTAATATAGCTTATTACATGAATATTAAAATATCTCCATTAAAACATAACAAAAACTACTAACAGGAAACGGCAAAATAAGTAATGTAACTATCCTCAATATAGACATAGCTTTAGCAATTCAATAAGAAAAAGATTAATGTAGACAATTCGTAAAAGAAAAACTACAATGTCAAATAACTTACCACCACAGGAACATTTCAAACATTTTGATATTTACAGGTAGTGAAGCTATGGAAAAATGAGAATTCTCACACACTGCTGATAAGAAGATAAATAGACATAACTTCTTAAATGTAATAGTTTATATTTGTGCCTGTTTGCTAGTTTAATAATGGCTCTCTCACAAGTTCTTGTTAAGGAAATAACCACCAATGTAATTAAAACGTATCTGTAAGACCTATCTAAATCCGAAAGTGGGTTATTTACATCTCCTGCAATTATTGTCTCAGCTCTTTTGTGACTCTCTTATGCCATTTGGTGTTTATTTCATGAAACTGAGAGTCCCATGTTTGGTGCCTAAATACAACTGTTACATCTTCTTTATAGTTTGTACCCTTTATTACAGGTAGTACAATGGCCTTTTTTTGTTTTCTGAGTGGTTTTCATTTGAGTTGATTTTTTATCAGACATAAATGCTTGTTAGACATTTGCATTTGTTGGTTAAGTTTCTATACTCTTCCTCAGTTTTTAGACACCTTTGCCAGCTAAATAAGTCCCTTAGCTACAGCAGATAGTGGGATCTTGTTTTTAATCCAGTCATTGGGTCTCTGTCTTTTTGCTGATGAGTTCAGGCCATTCACATTCAAGCTTCTTTTAAAGAACAGGTGGCCGTTTCCTGTGATTTGTTGGTTGATGTCATGGTTGGTTGGCTACTGGCGCGTTTTGTCTTCTCTTGTTAATATTAGGGGTGTGCTGTGTTGCATGTGTTTGATCTAGCTAGGCTGCCCTCTGTTCACCACTTCCTCTCATGGAATTTACTCCTTCTTGTGTTTCTGTGGGTCTCTTGGAGGTCTAGTTTCCCTCTGTTTGGGTATTGACTTCTTTCTCTAGATTTGGAAAACTTTCTCCCATTTCATTTGATACATACCCTATGACTTTTGGCTTTATCTCAGGTCTTTCTGAGTCTTAGGTTTTGTTTCTTGAACGCATATCCCTGGCTTCTTGGAAACCCAGGTCATGTTTTCTATTTTAAATTTTTTTTAATATAAGCATTAGATTTTAAATAATTCGTTTTATTTATTTTTATACAATGTATTTCGGCATTAGTTTCTTACAGTTCTTCCTGCTGTCCCCCAACCCTGCATTTCTCCAAAATTTATATCCTCGTTTTAAACTGTGATGAACATTCACCAATAGAGTCCAATTAGTCCTTCCTGTGTGTGTGCACATGAATGTGCGACCATCTACTGTGGCATGGCAACCTGCAGGTAGCCATGTTCCCAAACAAAAGTGGGTCTCCTTCCTTCAGTAACCATCAGCTGCTAATAGCTCCCCTGCTGGGAGTGGGAGCCCCCTGACCCATGCCAGAGATTTGACTGTATTTGTCTAATGTAGATCACTAATGCTGCTATGTGCAACAGTTAGGAAATTTCCAGAACTCTTTTCTTTTCCCCATCTGTCAGTTCTTAATTCTAGCTCCCCATCCTTCCATCATAATCGTTAAGTCTTGAATGTGGCAAGGAAGCTAATATGGATGCCCTATTCACAGCTGAGCACTCACAGTTACTGTTACTAAGCCCTTTGACCAGTTACAAAACTCTGAATTAACAACTACCCATGCAAAACGTTTTCTGACAAAAGTTGAGAGCAGCAAAAATATGTAAGTATAAACATAAATATTTATAAGGTAGGCTGACATTCTGACCATTTAATAAAACAACAATAGGTTTCCCACTAGAGTCTATGATATTCCCCAGTCATGGGCTCTTGACCAGGATTATGTAATCCTTCCTGTGGACAAGACATTGGAACTAAGTAGAAAAGTGATTGGTTACTTCTATAACTACCATGCCACTATTGACAAAAGTAGGGACATTTTGCTGGGCAGATGGGTATTGCAGCATGCAGAATCCAAAGTTTTCATTCT